TTTAAAATATATGTTTATTAAATAAAGTCTAATCAGGGATCCCTTTAACAAATCTTTATAAGGACGGGTTTGACAATCGTATCATTGTTTAAGTGGGGAAGTCCAACCAACATGAAAGTGAATGCCAGGACCCAAGCTGAGAAATAAAATGGTTTTAAAGGACCAGTAACCATTTTCTTACAGTCTTATTGGCTGTTATTGAGCCATTGGTCTCCATTTAAATATTATAACTGAGGACAGCAGACAGCTGGAAATAGCTGGACAGTTTGTGAGACTTTAYACTTACTGGACTCAATTTATGTTTTACTTAAAGCAAAACCAAAGACGTTTAAAATGGATTCAAAGAAAGGAGCTAACTAAAAGAGTTCCATAGATCTAGTGAATTAAAATGCATTGTTATAACAGCACAAAATATCTACTAAAACACTGGGCTCAGTGTGCCAATCAGCCATTGTTGACTCTATTCTTTAACTATTCAAGGTTGAACATTGTTTTTAAGGCACAAAAAAATACTTCAGATTCCTTTCCATGCTTTTCTTATCTGTAGAGTCCAGAGTTGTTTAGTTTGGTTTTAAGGTTGTGGAGCTGTCGGTGTCAGAATTTTAAAACTTTTTTTTTTCAGGTTGAGGTTTCAAAAAGTACCGTAAGCAGCTTTGGGCCTGAGGGTTTTGATGTCATTTGGTGATGTGAAAACTAAATATTTCAGTGGCAAAGTTATTGCTTGCTTTTATTTTTTTAAAAAGCTGCTTTTGGCGTGAGTCATAAAAGTAAGTTTACATCTTTTATTGTGCTCCTGCACGACCAACTGATCAACTAAACAAATCAAATCTGACTGATAGGAGTCAAACAGTTTTCACTTCCCAAAACGGACTTTAAATTTGAGAATAAGTCAAACATATCTTGCAAATAAGAGTTTTTCCAAGTTTAGTAAGCACAAAGCTCCAGTACGTTTGTGTTTGGACAGTGTATGTGTGTGTCCTACTGTTTCCATGAAGGGTCTGACGTCACAACGTTTCCATGGTTTTGGGCTGCCTACATGACACTTGGTCTCCAGGACATCCAGGTCCAGATAATACACGTTTCCTGCTGGTCCCTGTTGTCCACAAGTTCACAAACAAGTCCCGGACAGAGGAGAAACAACACAGAGTTTAAAGGTTTTCAAAAARCTGAAAGTAGCAGCATCATACGTGTTCTGATGAATATATAAAGCTTATATTAATGCAGAGCTGTAAAGTAACTRAGTACAAATACTTTGTTACTGTACTTAAGTGGAATGTTTGGTTATCTGTACTTTACTTGAGTAATTATTTGTCATCCTACTGTTTACTTTTACTTACTACATCTTTTAAAAAGGTACAAAGTAGAAAGTCATTACTTTTATTTCATTTTTGGTTGTTTTTATTCCAGCTTGTTATTGTAAAAAATAAATACTATCCATATAAGTTGTGCCTCCTAGATAGAGTGAATTTAATTGTACGTATAAATATATAAAATTCTGATACCGTATTGGTTTGTACACAAACAAATCATGTCACACTCCAGCAGGACATAATCATTAAAATAAAAGTACTGTAAGAAGTATTTGTATTTCAATAATTATATTGTTGCATTTCGCTGCAGCCCTCAGATAGATTTTCATTTTGGAGAAAAGCTTTGGGCAGCCTTGATATATGTTTATAAACTGAAA